AGATAGAACCATTGATGAGAGAGAACATCGATTGGCCGCCTCCTGCATGCCCCCACTGGGGATTTGGCATAACACCTGGGCATGTGCTGTGACCAGGAATCGAACTGGTGACCTCTTAGTACATGGGTCGATGCTCAACCACTGAACCACACCGACTAGGCTATTTCTACCACTTTTTAACTTTTGTGACAGCTTGTGTGCATGCAGCATTTTAACTATTGTTTTAGAAAGTTGGCAGTTTGCTTAATGTTATTGATGATGTGAGCAAAATATGTTATTTCTTTACAGAATCTTGAAAATAATGAGGTAATAGCAACAAAGAAAATGATTATCTGTATATTATAAGTAAAATTTAAAAATAAATGCCAAAGAAGGGAATACTCATAACATGGCAGGTAAAGTTTATAATGTTCTCCGTATCAGAGAACACTTCAAAATCAATTTAAAAAATGTCAAATGTGAAATATACAAATTGCCTAATGACATATACACAAAGATAATTTACAAATGAAGTAAAAATGGTCAATAAACTTATGAAAACAAGTTTAACAATATTAGAAAAGAAACACAAATGAATGCTACTTAGTAGCATTACCTATAAATAGTATATAAATAAAATACTATTTATACATATTTTATCTATTACACATTTATTATATATTCATATGCATATTTCACACATACATATACGTATATGGAAAGATAATACTTTTACTTGAGGCTACAACAAAATAGGCATACTTATGTCATTGGGGGGAATATTAATTTGTTTATCCTCTTTGAGGACAGAGTTCTAATGTAGATCACAAGTTTTAAGAATGTTCCTCTATTGACATGAAAAATTTTCACAATATAGTACTATGTGAATAGGTTATGAAACAGTGTATGATACTGTCCCTAATTTGCACAGATAATATTATACATGCATAGATTTAAAGAAAAGGATGTAGAATAATATGCATCAAGGTGATAGTGGATGGGTAGAAATTATTAGTATTCTTTGTTTTACTTTTCAGTACTCTCAAATTTTCTGATAGGAAATACTGTTTTAGTAATGATAAAAGACTTAAAATATTAAGAAAATACTTTTTAATTCTCAAAAATCTCACATTAGAAAGGTAGAATTGTGAGAGGCAAGAACAAGATGTGAGTTGATAATGATTATTATTAGCTTCAAACAAATGACTGCTTCAAAGAAAAATTCCCAGGTTTACAGACTTGAGATAGTACTAACAAGTAAGATAATTAACTTGACCAATATATACCCTTTTTGGAACTCTCTTATATTTCCATATGCTTTGTCTTTTACAGTTTTCATCTAATCTTTTTCTTTTCCTCATGTTATACGTCTTCACAAGTCTCAGTGGCATCACTTGCATTACATGTGACATCTTTTGCTAAAGAAGGGCTAACTTTCTTTTTAAGTGCTTGCTTAATACCAAGTCTTTTATTTATTTTCCAAAAAAAAAAAATCTATCAAGTGTTTAATCTTGGCTACAAGAAGTTTTTAATGCAATAAATTCCTATCCCTTCTGTGATAGGTAACATGGTCTGTGGAGCCATTATCAGAATTGGATAATTTTGCTTTTTGTAGATTTCTCTTGTCAGTCAAATCTCCAAGAATGCACCCATTGTTTAAGCCTTAATTATCATGAAATTTATAAAATAGTAAATATTGATAGAGACATTATGATTGGGAGAATTTTATAACTTTCTGATTTAATTCAAAAGCTTGATCTTGTTCATAACTTTTCATATTTGACTCTTCATTGCAGTTAGTTCTTTTATGATATATACTTTAATTATTAGCATTGAAGAGAATGAGAGAAAAAGAGAAGGGGAAACATGTAACATCTTTCCTCAATTGTGTCCTTTTTCTAATTCATGTTTTAGAAGTCCAAGTATTCCAGACACGAAAAGAGGATTTTAATTCTGGCAGCCATTTGGCTCACTGGCAATTCAACCTCAGCTGTTCAGAAGCCTGCCAGTAGATTGTTTAAAGTTTTTAGGCTCGAGGAACAGCTGGGCTTTACAACAGCACTCAGTTCAGATTTTACATTTCATCTGAAATACATTTATATGACTAAATATGTTAACTTCCAACTAGCCAGAACACCTTAACTCATTGTGTAGTACCTTATAAGTAGGAAGACCACACATAATATATTAGCCAAATCAAGACACTTCCACAATGAAAGAGGATGCTGTTAATAATTATACTAGGACAACAGGTGTGAACCATGCTGTCATTTCTGTTGGCATTAAGTAAATCTCTGCTTGATGGTTTAAATGGCTTAACCTTCAGAACAACATCACCACACCTACTAAAACATCATGTATCTATAACAGACCATCTCCAAACTTAGTGACTTAAAGCAATTATAATTTTACTGATGTCTATGATTTTCTGGGATAGGTAGGAAGGCTAAGATGCTTGGGACAGCTTGACCTTCCTCCATATAGATACTCCTTTGCAAATTATTTATGTTCCACATATAAAACATGCTCATCTTCATCCTAGGTTACCAAAAGTTTCATCCCAATAACAATAGCAGACCCAGAGTTCAGGATTCTGTCATATAATCTAAATCAGGTCTAGATGCAAATAAACTTCTGTGTTTTGCTCCTTTTTGTGGGTCCTCTTATCTGTTACCATATATTAAACATACAATGGGAGGATGGGTCAGAATAACCAGTCAATATTCCCATTCAAAATGGGGGGAGTAGGAATTATCTGGGTCTACATGGTTCATAGAAATTTGAATTCCCAATGGACATATGTTGTCAGGCCACCTACTTGGGTACGCAGTGGTTTTTGAAAAGGGCCTATTTCTCTTAGGCTTCTAGGTCTGCTCTCTAGACTCTTGCTCTGTCCTCTGAGATATCCTTCATTTTCCAGAAGAAATGGCTGTATCACAGTTAAATAGCTTTCTCAGCCTGCTTCCTTCTTGTGAAATTTGGGGACCCAGTAAAGTAGTTTCATTTCGAAGGGTCTCTGTCCCAATTAATCCAAGTAGTACAGCACACTTAGAATTTTTTTAGGCTTTCTGTGTATCAGATTATAGTCTACTCCATTACATAAAGGCCCAAGTCAGGAGTCTTTTCAAAACAGATCTACCCCTTGTATTGGTGGCCAAATCAGAGAACTATGGGACCAGTTCCTTTTATCTAGACAAGACAGTCTATTGGACTCCACTTTAAATCATTCAGATATTTTTCAAAAAGTTGTTACCACCACACACTTAACTTGATCTTTGATTGCAGGCCTTATTTACTTTGGAAATCTTTTATAAGCAAGCCTTGTATTCTCTGCATTTTCTTTGTGTTCACATACTGAACATTTTCTTCTTTAGCTCATCTCTGTTTTAACCTTATCTTTTAGCTATGAAGCAAATTTATACATTCATCATTTGGCCTGGAAATCTCTTTAGCCAGATTCACAGGTTCTTAGGTATACATTTTCTCTATTCTGTTTCTGAAAGTGACAGTTTTGTTGATTATGTCACTATAACATGACATAGATTGCCACATTTTTTCCAGCCAGCAAAAGGAATTTGTCCTTTTAAATTTCTTTACCACCCTGGCTGGTTTGGCTCAGCGGTTAGAGCGTTGGCCTGTGGTCCAGAGAGACCCAGGTTTGGTTCCCGCTAAGGGCATGTACCTCAGTTGCAATTTGTCCCTGGCCCTGGTTGGGTCATGCGAGTGGCAATCACTCAATGTGTCCCTTTCACGTCCATGTTTCTCATTCTCTCTCTCTCTTCCTTTCTCCCCCTCCCACTCTATCTGAAAAATAAATACATAAAATAAATAAATTTCTTTACCAATATATTATAGTTTTCAGTGTACAGGGCTTGCACATATTTTGTTAAATATATCTCTATAGATTTCATGCTTTGGAATTCTGTTATTAATGGAGTTGTGTATTTTATTTCATTTTGAATTGTTCATTTGTAAAGAATAGAGATGCATTTGATTTGTGTATGTTGACCTTATATTCTTTGATCATGTTAAATTCACATATTTTTTCTAGTGGATTTTTTTTGGTAGGTTCCTCAGTATTTTCCATTTATATGATCATGTGTATATAAATAAAAACAATTTACTTCTTCCTTTCCAATCTGTATTCCTGTTTTGTTGTTTTTTTCTTTTTCTTACCTTATTGTGATGGCTAGGCTCTTAAGTATAGTGTTGAATAGAAGTGGTGAGAGTAAACATCCTTATCTTGTTTTTAATTTTAGGGAAAGAACATTCAATCTTTTTCTGTTAAATATGTTGTTAACTGTGGGTTTTTTACGGATGGCTTTTATTAGACTGAGGAAGTTTCTTACTGTTCCTAGTTTATGGGGAACTTTAGTTGTAAATGGGTGTATTTGACTTTATATAAATTATACCTTAATTAAAAACTGATTTATTAGAAACAAAAATATTACATATACTAAAATTCGAACACAGTAGTGTTGTCTCATATATATCCATTTAGTAAAATCTGTGTAAAGTTTAAGAAAAACTTTAGTCAAGACTAAAAAAATTATTTTTAACATTAGTCCAACATAATATTAAAAGTATAATCAAAATGTTGAAGATTTTACTTTCAGAAACAGAAAGAAACAAAAGGGACAGGAATTGCTAACTTTCCATTTTCTAAGCTAATATAGTACTTCAAACTTAATAGTATTTTTCTATGTGATAAACTCTGCCTGTAAAATCTTAACTGAGCTTTTCTGATGCCACCACTGAGAGATTTTAATTCCTTTTATTTCTCCCCGAATAAGGAACAATGTTTTTAACATTCAGTAATTATTTTTCTTATTGAGCATAGAAATACTATAGAAGTTTTATATGTCATACTAAATGTTGACTCTAGGTTGCTTCTTAATTAGTTTTACAAGATTTTATTTCTGTTTTTATCCTTATTATACACACGAGGAAACTGAGGCTTAAAACAAGTAAATAACTTGCCTGTAGGTATTTTTATATCTCTGAAAACTTTTTTAAAATAGGAGTTACTTAAAGATCCACTGTATATTGGACTACGGCAGAGAAGAGTGAGAGGTCCTGAATATGATGATTTTTTGGATGAATTCATGGAGGCAGTTTCTTCCAAGTATGTATACTATTTATTTTATCTATATTTCAGTTGAATTTCAAAAATTTAAAGATAACCTAACATAATACAGTATAAAATATTCAAATTTTGTTCTATATGTTTAATAATTAGAAGGTATTTGAAAAAAATACACATGCATATATCCTCATAGCTGTTAGTGACTACATGATAACTTCATGTGTTATCTCCTTAGAGGTTGTCTCTGTTGCTATTCTTGAAGATAACTTTCTTTTATGATCATTGGCAGACTGTACTTTGATTCTGGCTGCTAATAAAATCTGATCTTTGATTATTTTGGGAGGTGTGTATGACCCTTTTGTGGTAGGAAAAGCAGAGGAAAAAGTGAGCCTGAGTTAGTGCAATGCACAAGGTCCAGAATGGAGCAAGAACCAGGACATCCAATCATGAATACAGTGCTTGATTAAAATACAGTATGATATTTCACCTAGTCTAGGAGTATTTAACCGTGGGCCAAGTGCTACGTTAAAATTTTTCAGTTTTTTTCTTTCAAATAAGAGACTTCTACCATAATTTAGTAATATATTCTGGGAGAATTTTGTCACACTAAGAGTCAACCATTTGTTACTGTATAGCCACAGAAACCATGTCCTATTTAAAAACATTTATGTTGCTTTCGTTTTTCACAGAAATAAACTCATCAATTGAATCAACTAACTAGAGACATGCTTCTTGTTTCCTCTCATAATAAGGTTTAATTTTATTTTAATCCTCACCTGAGGATATTTTTCCCATTGATTTTATTTTATTTCTTTTATCCTCGCCCAAGGACATTTTTGCATCTATCTTCAGATAGAGTGGGAGGGAGAAGAGGGAGCAAGAGAGAGGAAAAAACATCAATGTGAGAGAGACACATCAACTGGTTGCCACCCACACAACTCCAACCGAGACCGGGGACAAAGGGCAACTGAGGTACGTGCCCTTAGTGGGAACCAAACCCGGGTCTCTCTGGTCCATGGGCCGATGCTCTAACTGCCGAGCCAGACTGGCCAGGGCTTTCCCACTGATTTCTTTTAGGGAGAGAGGAAGGAGGTGGGAGAGGGTTTTAAGGTGTAGTTTTAAGAAGTTGCATACAGTAGCAGAAAGTACTTCCACCAGCTTGTACAATATTTAGAATTGAATCTTTCATTACTCAAGGTTTTAATACAGAGTATATTTGCCAGTTAGTATGGACTACTTTTTAAAAACCCATACCTGATTTATTATTATTATTTATTAACTTAATTAAGCTGTACTTAATTAATAGAAATAGTTAAGAAATTCTGAGGTTTAGGCTCAAGGTTGTTTAGTACAGTTAAATGTTAGTAGTTTTTCATATTTAATTTAAATTCCTTACTCTAAAACTTGGTTTTGAAGTTATTAATAAATTTCTAGGTAGCAATATTAATCAAGATATTATGTAGAGAATACCATGAGGCCACATAAAAGCAGAATGAAATTCTCTATGTATTTGTTTTTATTATCTGTTTGTATAAATGAAGTCTAATTTTATATAGACAAATTTAATATATGTACAAATAATCTGTTAAACAAGTTATGAATATATCATGTATGGCCTATATACTTAAATGCTGTTTAAATAAAAAGAAATAATTACATTTGGAATCAATGAAACATTCTGGAGAAAATGAGATATGAGCTGATTTTGAATGTGCTATTTCAATCTGGAATTGAGCTACACAGACCATCTCCCAGGACCAAACTGGAAAAACATTTTTTAAAATTGAATTGAGGGGTTATCTAAGATCCTTGATAAGGAAATGGTGATTGACAAGACTCAACAATAATTTTAAATGCAGAGAGCACCTATAAATCAGGAGTTAACTTTTCTGTGCTCTTCCTAGAGAAAAATCCCCAAGGTTTTTCAAAAATATTTTTTCTCATGACACTGCTTTGGGAGAAGTTTTCCAAAAGTGACACTCCCCAATTATATTGGAAAGTAGCCCTAAAGATAAGCCCAGAATTGTTTAAAAGGAAATGTAACAAATTCAAGATGGAAAATGACTATTGCAAGTTGGGTACCTAGGAATCAGATTCTGAGAAGGAGTTATTAAGGAGTGTTTTGGGGATCAATCGCTTTGGAAGGGAGGGGACAGAGACTGGAGTATATAAAAGAAGTCAAGCTGCAACATGCACTCACTATCAGCCTTGGATAACTTAACTTCATTGGTGCCACCCCTGCATGCTCTTTGGTTCCTTAAAGGAACACTAATTTCTATCAGTCCTCCAACCCCCGCGGTTTCATATTCTTCCTCTTGGCTTTCTCCTCCATTATAGCTCTTGCTTCATAGGCCAAAGACTTGATATGTTTGTTATGGCACTATTCTGATTATATATGTATTTGGGGACTTAGGAATTCACCACCAATGGACCTATTATGTGCTAAACCTTGGCTGGAGCTCCACTTATTAATAGCCTCCATATGCTTCTAATGAGAAAGGTCAGCATATTGATGCTTCAAGTCTCTTGGTATCACCGTCAACTCTGTGCCCTCTAAATGTTTGGGTATTCCCATGTCCAAAATTGGACTCCTGATCTCACACCCACCCCTAACCCTGCCCTGCTGCAGTATTTTTTCTCATCTCAGTAAATGACAACTGCTGTCTTCCTGTTCCTGAGACTAAAAACATTAGAGTTATCACTTCAATACCCATACTGTTTGCAAAACTTAACAGCCTTCAAAATGTATTCAGAATCTAACCATTTCTCATTGCCTGTATTATTTTTCCCTTATTTGAACTTCTTTTCCCTGATTATTTTAACAATCTCCTTACTAGTTTGACTGTTTCCCTTTTGCTGCCTTTTAATCTGTTTTCAAAACAAAAGCTAAAATGATTATAAGTTAGGTAATTTCTCAGCTCAAAGCCCTATAAAGGCTTATCCTTTTACTCAAAATAAAACTAAATTTTTGCAATAGCATGAAAGACCTTGGACCATCTGACTCCCTGATACCTTTTCTTTCTCACCGTATCTCCTACTAGTTTTCGCCTTTGCTTTCTTTGTTCCAGTCACACTGGCCTGTTTGCTTTTTCCCATTTAAGTCAGGCATGCTAATGCCTCAAGGCTTATAATTTCTTCTACTTAGAGCCCTCCCTGTCTTCTGCCCAGTTTTCCACATGGCTAGCTCTCTCACCTCCTTGAAAATTTCCTCAAATATCACTTTTTTTTTTTTTTTAATCCTCATCTGAGGATATTTTTTTCCATTTTTGTTCAGATAGAGTGGAAAGGAGAGCGAGGGGGAGAGGGAGAGCGAGAGAAACATTAATATGAGATAGAGACACAGCAACTGTTTGCCTCCCACATGACCTCACCCAGGGCCAGGGAAGAACTGCAACTGAGGTACATGCCCTTGACTGGATCTAACCCTGGTTCTAACCACTGAGCAAGACTGTCCAGGGCAAATATCACTTTCTTAATGAGGCCTTCCTTGACCAACCTATTTAAAACTTTACCCCCAACTCATTTTTCTTTTTCTCTTCATTTATCAATATCTGACATATTTATATATATTTATATTCTGTCTACATTTATGTACTGTAAATTCTCTGAAAAGCAGGGAATTTTCTTTCCTTCACTGCAATATTTCTGGATTCTAAAGTATTATTTACCATGTGATAAGTACTCAGTAAATATTTGTTGGATGAATGATTGAATTTTATTTGTTTTATTTATATATTTAAAAATGATAGGTATAAATGAAAGAACTCTGGTATTTGAAAGGATATATTAAAGTTATAATCCTTACATACTGCCAAATATATGTTAAAGTCACCATATGGATGTACTCCTTAAATATTTGTGTTTGTTTTTATGGTTGTACTTCTTATAATAGCCTTCTTTTTCTAGAATCAATTGCCCCTGGAAGTTAATAAGAAAATTAGTGACAGCTCAGCTTTGCTGCCTAAAATTCTTTATATCAGAATTTTATTGATGAATTTATTAACTAAATGAGAAAAAAAGCAGTACCTCAGGTGAGCTTTAAAAAGAGAGTATTAACATTTTTAATGAAAAAAAAATTCAGCAAGGACTATATTTTTTCCTTTTCCACTTTAGATTATTAAAATGAAAAGTCACTTGGAAGCACTAGGAATGGCCACAAAGATGATTATTATAATGTTTTTACAACCTCCTTCAACCTTGGCTACAATCACAAATTTTATTATGATCTGTCACATAACATTTAAGAGAAATAATCTTAGTCTGAAGCCATGCTATCTGCCATATGCTGCAAGGTGTGATGACATTTTCATAAAATTCTACTTTCTTCACTTACTCACTATTGAACTAAAAGCCTTGACTGTCTCATTGAGATGGACCTGACTATTCAGAGAAGCTACTAATTTGGTCAAGGTTTTTAAAGGTTACATCAGATTTCAAAGGAACAAAATATATAGCCCCTGATGATCATGACCAGATTTGTTAAATTTATTTTTATTGTTATTAATAATATCCTCTCTTTCTAAAGAAATCATCAGATATGTAGGTTTATGTGCTCTTCACCCTTACAAGGGGTTGCAGTTCAATAGTTTCTCCCTGGCCTCCGCACAGGGAAGGGGCTTCTGACTGCCCCATTATCCTTCTTCCTGCCATTCCTGCTGCAGATAATTTCATGGCTGATTTTCTTCCACCTGTTCCAATCATTGCCTTTTATGCTTGACCATTTTTTATTTTTATTTATTTATTTATTACTGAGTATGTTTAATCCTCACCTGAAGATATTTTTCCATTGATTTTTAAATAAAGTGGTAGGAGGAAGGGAGAGAGAGAGAGGGGAAGGAGAGGGAGACATCGAAGTGAGAGAGACGCATCAACTGGTTGCCTCCCACAAGACCCTGACTAGGGCTGGGACTGACCCTTTTTAAAATTTTTTTTTAATCCTCACTAGAGGACATTTTTACATTTATCTTCAGATAGAGCAGGAGGGAGAGAGAGAGAGAGAGAAAGAAACATCAACATGAGAGAGACACATAGAGTGACTA